TCATGTTACATATATTCAAGTTTACAGTGTCTTTAGTTATAATTCATTCATCGATTAAATTGTATTTTAATGTACTATTGATAAATTCATTTACTGACACATCGATTTACACAACAATCAGTAATCTAATAATCACCATATCCAAACTTGATACGTAAATACTACCCCAACAATCCAAATTTCCAAAATTTAAACATCACCAAACTGTTTCCTCTTTCCATCCAAACTACTATAAAAGAACAATACGTTCCCCCATAATTTATCAAATAATCCGCAACACTCTTGAAAAAAGAAGTTTTTCACTTTTCTTCTGTCCTCCACAATCCAATCAAATTTAAACAGATCATACCAATAAATCTCATAGTTACTTATTAACAGTAAACTGACTACAGCAACCAAATACAAATTCCCCTTGCAATGAAACTAAAAAACAAAGAAAAAAAACAAAAAACCATGCTTTTGCAACCAACGATCCATTCACCGAACAAGATAAAAGATTAACAAATTAACTGTGTTTGACGAGTATATACGTCATCTTAAAATTATACCAATTCTTTCAACGATGTATTCTTTATTTTTACAGATATACATGCAATTCTTTTTTGTTTTTCTCTTGGCGCACTAGCCCTGCGTTTAACGAGTACACAATTCATTTTTTCATCTTATTCAGCGCAAAACGAGAGATTTTTCAAACTAAATTCCACAGTTAACAGGTTAAACAGGTGTATCAAGCAACCGGCGCGGCGAAAATAGGGGAGACCGAGGGCAAAGCCAGCCAAGTATCATTTGGCAAAAATCATACCGCGTTAAGTTTCGACGAGCTTTTCCGCTGGCAGTTTTAGCCGTAGACAGCTGCCGCTCGGGGTCCCCGGAGGGATTCGCGATGGTGCCTGACGAAAACGAGCCCGGACAGCCGTCCTTATACCCATCATCGTCAGCCTCTTTCCCGCCTCCGCCGTCCGCTCCCCGCTTTCTGCCGCTCTCCTCGCTGTTCGCGAAAATCCCCTCAACGGCCGGTCGGTTATTACGTGACCATAAAGAGCAGCCGCTTTTCCCGGCGACCGAGGGTATCGCATTGCGCGCGTCGCGACGCGTCGCGACGAATACCGACGCCGACTTTGATTTCCGGAAACCAGATGGAGAACGGAAGCTCAGAGCCACGGGAGTCGAGGATTTGATCGGGACAAGCTCAATACATGGAAAAACATGAATTAAATGCTGAAAACGGATCGATCACTTGACGTGGCAATGTCAACTGGTGTTTGATAAGCTTTGCGAGGGTGTCTTATTCATGATTATTGATTGAGTATCGGAGAGTCTTATACATGCGAGGGTGGGATTCTACTGTTTTGGGAAATTAATTAGAGGGGATGTAGTGTTTTGGGAAATGAATTAGAGATATTCTAGTTTTTTTGGGAAATCAATTGTAGAGTTTCTAGTTTTCTGGGAAATGAATTATAGTAATTCCAGTGTTTTGGGAAACCAATTACAGAGGTTCTACTTTTTTGGGGAACCAATCAGAAAGGTTCTAATTTTTAGGGGAATGAATTAGAGCAATTCTAGCTTTTCTGTTTCTTATTAGGAGGGATGATTTATGGCTAAAAATGAAATAATTGTCTCTTTCTCAGGTTTTAATAATACATTTTTTGTTGAATCTCTTAGACTTTATGGAATCTTTTATGATCTTTTAACAATTTTTTTATTTTATGAACAGTAATATTCATATGACTATTTTAAATATGTTCATAAATGATACCACATGTAATTTGCTGATAACATTTTCTTTGTTCCATATTGCGATTATTTTTTTATTTTCAACCGAAGAATGTTCTATGATTGGTCTAGGTACGGTATGTGCGTTATGATTTCATCAACTCTGAATCTGTAGAAGATCAAATATCAATTACTATTTAGTTTTACTAAATGAGTTAAATATATTCTACTTCAAACAGGTAACCAATTATTTTTTTGTAATTTAAATTAATAGAATTGCACGAGAGAATATTTAATGATGAACGACTCTGCTGAAACATTGTAACCCAAGTATGGATTTAAACGTCATATGTGCAATATTTTAGTAATATGAAAGAAGATTTACGTTAGTTAATATTAACATTAACAAACTGTATTATTTAATGGTAGCAAAAGTAATTTTGTTAATATTAATAAATTTTACTGCCAAATAGAATCAAAACTAAAGTTATTAAAATTAATAAACTGTATTATTGGATGGAATTACCAAAGTGAAATGTAATATATTAAATGAAAATTTTAATGTACTGAAGGAGTATTAATAATAATTATTAGAATATAATTCGGTACAATTTTGAACGAACAATGATTCTTTGAAAAGACAAATTACACAATCCGATTTTGTTACAATAAATGACGTTACAAAAGATCGTATTATTTTACTACTAGTTAATAAAATGAAGACTAAATATAATATAAACTTTGAAAACATCATTTATTTTAATCATTTACTTTTTAACAAAAGCTATTTCAAATAAAAATTTATATATATAAAAATTAAAGTTCGTAGATTATTAATATAGTCCTCGTATAATATTGAAATGAAACGTGAAAAAAATTTATTACGATTTTGTAAATACCAGTCTCGCATTTATTCGCGTCATCAAACAAATACTAGGGTGTTAGAGGTCTAAATAAACTGGTGTTGCTGAATTTAAATACTCTGATACGTTCGCTCGGTGTCCCGGAGCTCGCAAAATTGGGTTTGATGATAGTTATAGCTGATTTCACTGTTTCAGCACGGTTCGTTGGACGGTAGTTTGGAAACAAGTAATTTGCGATGAGCTTGCAGCTATTATTAATTTTTGTGAATTCAAATGGCAAGTAATCTCAAATCTCGTATCTAAAATTCTCACATAAAAATGAATTTAAATTAAATACTTAAGCGTTGTGAACATAAAATCTTTTAAACTGGAAATTTTAAGAAATGATTCTAAATATTTCTTTTTCAAAGAACTATTCATCGAAAAATGAAATAAAAAAATTACATTTCTGTAGTTGTACAAAAGACTGATAAAATGAACAGTAATTAATTCATTTTTTAATTTTTATTGACCTTAATGTAACAATTTTCATTTATTGGGTATCACATTTTATTCTTTAAAATATCCTTTTCCAAAATAAAATGTATCTTCCTTCGATCCCCCATCCGTCGGATCATAAATTCGAAGACGACCCAAGTAAAATCCATACGAAAATATTAAAAATTTTTTTCGAATGAATACTTTTGTTGAGCTTCTGTTAATTACTATTTTATAACAGAATTTAAATATTTTAATTTAAAATTCAAAATGTAAATAACTATGTAATATATTAACACATTATAGTGATCGTCGGAGATCAACGTTACAAAATTAAATTGTTTGAAACATTCAATTATTAAACAATTGCTTTTAGAATTTTATGAGTGCAATAATAGCGTAGGTATCAATACGTACACGTATATATTTTTAAGTAGTGCAATAAAATACTATGTCAATGTAACATCGCTCTCACAATAAAACTTTCAACGATCAACGTGTTGAACTACACAGATGTTTATATAGAATTAACTATTACTTTTATTGCAATCGTGCCAAAATGATTCTTCCGAATATTATCCAATTTTCTCAAGCACCCCATCACACATAATTGAAAAAATAGTCAAATGCTATAACAGTAGGCTCAAACCGGTAAATTAACTTGGTTTGAACCAGTTACACTTAAAGAAATTCCTTCCTGAATTAATTTATATGCGGATATGACTAAACCGATGTTTCATGCGACAAGAACAATACTAAACATTCGAATGTAACTTATATTTTGCAAACATTGTTTTCGCTGTACGTAAGACCATTTATTTTTTAACAGAAAATCATTCAATAAATAAAAAAATACTGGAATTAAATACAAAAATACACTAAATTTCAAATAACTATGTATTTTCAAAACGTTTCAATTTCTTTGAATATAGTTAAAATTTAAAGAAATTCAATATCAATACAAAAAACAGAGGAAATTTACAACATTTAGAAGTAAATATTTAACATAGACAGTAAATAATAAACGAAACGGAAATTATAAAATCTACGTTGACCAAAAAGCAGTTATAAAATTGTAAAAATTAAGAATAACTGTAATCCCTTTTATTTCTTGTTCCTACAGTTCTTTCATCTTATAATTATCTTATAAATAATTTAACGAATGTCGTAATAACATTTATGATACTCATCAAATGTGACAATGAAACGGAAAATGTTTAGTTTTTCATTACATTCTCTTCAAATTGAAAATATCTAAAAATCAAAATGCAAAGACACTATAAATTGTTACGTTTTCTAAAGGGGTTATAGTCTTATTACAAGTATCCGATTCCGTGAAAACCTATTGTTTTTATAAACCACAAACGACAAACTGACAGGTAAAAGTAAGTTTACCTCGACTTGTGCATTACTCTATAAATTTGTCAAAATTTCATCGCTAAAGCATTGGATTCTTTATATGTACAATTAATTACTTTTCCCCACTTTTCGTTTCGCAAAAAACACACAACAAATCAACCGACGCGCAGAAAGGAAAACCTTCGCGCCTTCAAACTCAATTAAAAAGTACCAAACTCGAATAAAAAACTTGCACAAACTTCAAAAAACCACTGTTACTCATACCAAAATAAACTCCTCCTTAACAAAAGCAAATAAACAAACGAATTCAATGAAAAACCACCTACTAACAAGCAATTCTGTAAACAAACCCATCAAATGCTACAAAAATGTCATATATCATTCCAACAAAATTCGAAATAAAATAAAATACATTAACAAGAACAAAATAAAAAAGCTGCGTACAACCAAAACACTCTCAAACAAAATTCTATTTTCTTACACTTCACCGAAGACATGAAAATCATCCGAGATTCGATGAAAAAATCGTGAAATCTCTCCTATTCAGGGAACACAAGATTACAGATACTCGTAGCAACAATCACATACCTTGACCAAGGGTGGACTGTGCGTGGGTGGGTGATAGTGTCCCGAAGAAGGGCTCGCGGGTGGCCCCGCGCCCCCGGGTGAGATGGCACCGCCTCCGGGGGTGAGAATCCTGGACTCGTGGTTGAACAACACTTTCCCGATTTCCTCCGCACCCTCGCGGATGACCGTCGATCGTCGTAACCGATCCCCGAACGAGCGATTTCAGCGATCTATCGAAACGTTCTCCAACGACCTTCGCACGATTGTCACGCTATTCGAGTCTTTGACCACTGACACGTCTCCAATGATCCTTTTTTCCGTCACTGGCACCAGGAAATTCTAGTGACTCTACGTCAGAATAATTTACGAGAAGCACTGCCTTAAAAATGTTCTTCTAACACACTGAATATCAATGACAAGGGTTTGCTCAGGTCACTCACTTTTGGTATACGTCAACAGCTCTTGCTCCCGTGTTTTTGGCGATTCTAGCTCCCATAGTCCTCTCAAACTGTAACACCGTGTTCGTCCAAGTCTTTAATAGAGTAAATCCTTCGTGACACTTGACGTAGAATCTTCGAAGACCAAGAATTTAGTCATATTCGATCTCCGATGCTAGGATAACATTCAATCAGCACCTGGCATCCTCAGAAGTTCAGTCATTATTTAGGCATCCTCAAGTCCAATAAACTCCAGGATTAGAAGCTTCCAGTCGGCACGTAGTCAACTGCTGACAAAACTTCAACTTCTCAAACACCTTCCCGAAATCACCGATCAACATGCCAAACAGCAACCTGCATAGCGAAAGTCCTCGAAACTGATCAAGCCACAAATGCCAGAGTCAAAGTATTTCATCTAGTCCTTCCCACTCAATACTCCAAATTCGATATCACAGTAGTAACTCGGCACAGGCATCAATGAAACTTGCCATCGCAGAATAACCCGGGAACCGCGTCGAGATCGCGAAGCGCGACGATATCCCGTTGGTGTCGCGTCCGAGCCGTCCGAAGAGGGTTCCAGCTGGATTGTGTCGCGTTCGGGTGTCGCGGCCGAGACGGGTGTCCGCGGAAAGCGTGCTCGATAGGCGGAACCACGCAGGCGTCGAACGGCTCGCGAGGCGTGGCCTTTGATCTCGCCTCTCTGTCCGACGACGACCCATCCCGATCTTCTCTCCTCCGCGTAGTTCGCGGGGGTGGCGGACCCGCCACGTGGTTTTATTGGCCAAATAACGCGTACGACAAACATCCCCTCGGTTTCCTGCGCCGGGGACCGTCTCTTTGCGTGTGTTGTAACTCAGCCTCGCGAGGGTGTACGCGCGTGGCTCTTTCCTACCGTGCGGCGGGTGAGGAGGGGGAAGGGCGATAGTCGTCATGGTGTAAATCGTGTTTACCCCTCGTCCATAGTGATTCTCGTGTGTATCAGCCGCCCCCGCGCAGCCTCCAGTCACGTCTGCTCCGTGCTCGGCTCACCGCTTCGTTCTCCGCTCGTTTTCCTTTTTATTGTTTTTGTGACCAACCCCCGCCCCTGCGCCACGCGGCGCCTCACGGTTGTCTCCTCGTCTTCCGCGCCGCGGGCGTTTGTCCCTCCGGGATGTTTCTTCTTGGACGCGGCCGTACCGCTCGGGTTCCTCGTACGCGAGGAACTGACGCGGACACGGTGGCTACGCGCGACATCATGTTTGGATACCTCGATGGTGAGGGGTTGATGAATTGGTACGAGTAACGTTCGCTTTTTGGTTAGGGTTTCATTGGTTTTTGGATTTGGATTTTGATTGTAGGAACAGATTGTTTAGTTTAGCGTTGTATGAGTTGTGTAGGGTGATTTGGAAAAGATTTGAATGTTTAGAGGTTGATGATTGTTTACTAGGTAGATGGAGGAAGGGAATTTTTATAATTTAATGTAACGAGGAATAGGGATATAGGAATCTAGCATTGTAGCAATGTGGTGATGTAGCATTCTAACATCGTAGCATTGTAGCATTGCAGCAATGCAACGATGTGGAAATGTAACATTGTAGCAATGCAGCGATGTAGCAATGTGGCATTGTATCATTGTGGTATCGTATCAATGTAACATTTCAACATTGTGGAGGCGCAACAGTGTAACAACATCACAACGTAGCAGTGTAGCAATAGCAATAAGACCAAACATAGTAATTAATTGACATACGACGATTTAAAAAGAAAGAGGTTTGGAAGTTCCGAGGCGATTAACATTTAATACTAAAACTGTCAGACAGGTCAAATTGACCAACTTCAAAATTTTTATTTTGCAAATATTTAAATTATGTAGGCGCTTTTGATTGGGATTTTAAATTAAATTTGTATATTTGTAAAGATACAAGACTAAGAGACCCTTCGAATCTCAAGAAACGGATTGTTCTAATTTTCATAAAAAGTTGGAAATAAAACACTCAAATTGCTCGGTAGTTTTAGTGTTATCAAATGGAAAAACTACTTGCATTATTTTTCTCTGCACTTCTGCGGTTAAGACTGCTCAAAATTTTCCATAATCACACAGTAAAAAACTACAGGTATCTAAATATAACCGATAAATCATTGAACTTTATATATTGGAAATTGCTCCAGGCTATTAATACGACGATATTGTCATCTCCCGTGAAACATATTGCACGTAAATGAAATTATAAGAGCCAGAGGGAAACAGAGGTACCTAGACAAAATCAGATAGAAGAAATCAGACGCCTCGATTTTCCGCAATTTTCCCGGGTTTGATCGACTCCAATTTCATCCCCTATCGAATCGCACTTTGCCGGGAATTCAAGATCCCCGTATCCCGCTCGCAAAAACGTAGAAGCTTGCACGATGACGGTTTCGAGTCGAATAGTAACATGGAAGCACGCACTTATCCGTGTCCATATATTCTCTTTCCACTTGATTCTTCCGACCCTTCGGGGATACCCGTTTCCTCGATACCCGGGGAGCGTACATAAGACGACGCAATAGGAAAATAGCACGAGCTGACACTGATTCGCAGCGAAGACACGTAAGTTAGGAAGAGAATAAAACTGATAAGTGAAATAAAGATAAACTGAAGCTCACCGAGCGGTATTAGATGATCGAGAAAATGCAGAGTACGGAAGTTACTGCGAAATAAAGAATGAAGATGATGCAGCGTATCGATAAAGAAGGAAAATAGAGGAAGTAGTAAGAGAAGTTGCAGAAGATCAAAATAATAAAAGAAAGAAATATACAATAATGCAGAAGCTATGAAAAATGAATAGCATTGAAGAAGAATTGTAAAGGAAAATAAGAAATATTGATCAAAAATATAAAAAGGAATGAAAATATACAGTTATATAAATATTATTCATATGTTTATGAACTTCCGTTTCCTATGTTGGCGATTTAAAAAATAAGAAGAATAGATAGCAAAAATTAAACTCAAATATAAATCGGATCAATAGTAAATAGAAACAAACTAAGAAAATTGAAAAAAATAAACAAATCTACAGAAACGAGAAACAAATATGAAAAGAAAAGAAAGAAGATTACAAACACGATACAGCAGTGAATGTAAAAAGACACAGATATTCCTCTCGAACGAGATAGAAGTTCTCGTGGATGAGAGTGAAAAACGAAAAAGTTAAAGCAGGACTGAAGTAATAGAAGAACACAGGAAGAAAGATAATTGAAGTACAGGAATGGTTGCAGGGAGCAAAGAGATGAGAACGAAGGGAAGCAATTGAAGACCTCGGGAAGAAACACGAAGGCGAAAAGAGGGGAAGAAAGAGCAAGAGACAGAGTTAGGAGAATAATCGTGTTTTGCGATGACTGGATTACACCTCGCCGCGCTTGCTACCTAACATGCTACGTACGGAACACACGTATCTTGTACAACTAGAACAGAGTTTCATCGGCTGGCCACCCCATCTAACACTGTTACCCAGTTACCCAACCTCAATTTATCCACGTCATTTACGAAAATGATTTTCTTGACGAAAGTAAAGAACAAATAAACTTTTAATCTGTTTCTTCTTCATTCGATAAGAAATGTATGGACGTTATCCAGAATAACAGGTTATTAACTGCTAATACCAACAAGATTATTATTTATGAATTTGTTTTCGCTGTTTAATGGAAAACGATTTTTAGATCGGTGTACGTTATAAATATGTACAATGTAAACGGATTCTAGATATTTAAGATTTAAAAGTAATTAAACAACTTACTCGTGTATCGAACTGAAATTTATTTTATATAATTGTTTACTTACCTGATTCGTTTGAAACAGAATATTGCGCGTACAAGGGTTACTTTGATATGTTTTTATGTTGGAATATTATTATTTTAACTATTAATAACCGGAATTATGTCGTACTAATTTCGCGTTGATGTAAACGCTAGAATACTTCAAATAAACAACTTATCAACTTTGTTTCATTAAATTTTATTTTATTGTATTCGTAAACTTGCATATGTATCTGTAACCCTAAATACACATACATAAAATAAAAAAGCTTCTTGTTGTCTTGTCTGTTCAGCTTCTCTAACTATTTCAAAGTTCTAGATATCTACTTATCGCTTGTTTAAATTATTAAACACTTCAGGAAGCAAATACTTCGCATCAAAACAAATTACATAAAAATCAACCCTCATCTTGTCCAACACCCCTCGACATAGTTCCTCCCGGAATCACCAAAACTGCCTAATACGCTCAATGCAAACAAAACACTCTATACCCCCACAACACCCATCACCCCAGTATCCGCACAATATCTCATCCATCAATACCCAATCGGCTTCCGCAGGAATCAAAACCGGCGATAAGCTAAAACGATCCAGCCACGTGTAAAACTACCAACTGAAACAGTATCGCCACCCCTACCCCTCCCGAAAGCAGCCCGCCGGGCTCTCAGTTTCCAGCCGGTTCACCTAGAGTTCCAACGGCAACGGCAGCGGCAGCAGCAGCAGAAGAGGTGGGGCAGATGCGAAGGTTGTTTAATAAAATAACCTCGTTACGCCGCAGTCAGGAGACGACGCGGGGGTGGTAAAGGGTGATGGTGAGTTGTTCCAGGGAAAAGAGGAACCAGCAAGTGGGGGGAGAGCGCGATAGTAAAGACCAAGTCGAAACCTGGCTAGGCGTGC